CCCCAAAACCCCAAAACCCCAAAACCCCAAAACCCCAAAACCCCATAAATCTGAAGCCATGTTGTTAAAGAAATAATAAAACTAGATATGGAGCCAACTGAAAAAGAATCCTTGAATGAGCCAACTGCTGAAGGTAGCTCAACTACTGACACCTCTGCTATGGTAAGCACCGAATGAGTGGTGAACTTCATCTGGTTCGGTTGAGTAACTTTGGATATAGCCGAAAGATCCATCCAAGGATTTCTCCCCTGAAAATGCCAAAAAGATGCAGGAGTTATTTGCAAAGTAAGCCTTAGTAACTAACTTTGAGCATATTTCTGTCCAAAATTAGAGAGAATATTCGAGCTCATTTACTAGAATTCTCCTCTCAATCTCTAATAAAGAGCGTTGCAAGCTTTTTATCTATCAAAATTCATTTCTGAGGGTGTGTTTCTCTGACCGTTCCCTGATTTCCTTTAGGATGATGAAGGATAATCCTGAGACCTATAAGAAGTTTGAAGAATTCAAGCAGATGCAGCCATTGTTACAACCTCATGCCTTTTGGGACACTCAACCAGTCCAAAAGGTGACTGAAACCATGGGTATTTCTGTAAGACAAGACCTAAGAAAGATATTAATTTTTAGGAAATCACTCCTGGTCCAATAGAAGAAAATAAGAAAAATGATATTTCCACTGAGCCAATCAAACTAGCAGAAGGATTCGAATGGTGCAAGATTGACATCCATAACGAAGAGCAAGCTAAGGAGCTTCATGAGCTTCTCAACAAGCATTATGTTGAATCTGATGGAGGCACGTTTAAATTGGATTACCCTCTTGATTTCTTGAAATGGGCTCTTTGTCCTCCAGGATACAAGCCAAAATGGCACATAGGAGTCAGAGCTACCAAGACAAAGAAACTATGCGCATTTATCGCAGGTATTCCATTGAATCTCACTATCATGGGAGAGGAAGTCAAAGCAAGTTCTATCAACTTCCTATGAATTCATCAAAAACTCAGATCAAAGCGTCTTGCCCCAGTCTTGATCAAAGAAGTTACTAGGAGGATCAACAGAACAGATGTTTGGCAAGCTATTTACACCTCAGCAACTCTGATCCCAAAGCCATTCTCAGATGCCGTCTACTACGGAAGACCTCTGAATTACAAGAAACTTGTGGAAGTGAACTTTTTCAAGAAAGACAAATCCTTTAACGCAAAGTAAGCTTAGATTTTCAGACTTTAGGAAGAAGCTGTACACTCTCCCAGATGAGACAGAGACACCTGGGTTCAGAAGAATCAGAAAGAAAGAGATTAAGAAGGTCTACCCAATGCTCAAAGAGTTTCTTTCTGAATACAAGGTGGCCATCAATTTCAGCCCTGAAGAAGCAGTCCACTACCTCAACTATAGAGAGAATGTAGTCTATAGTTATGTCGTTGAGGATCCAGAGACTAAGGAAATCACAGACTTCATTTCTTTCTATTCCCTCAATTCTGAAGTGATTGGGCATGACAAGCATGATACGATGAATGCTGCCTACTGCTGGTATTACTGTAGCACAAAGACTCCACTAGAGAGCTTGATTAAAGACGCAACAATTATGGCAAAGAAAGAAGGATTCGATATATTCCAGATGCTCAACATAATGGAGAACGAAGAAGTTGTAGATGAGCTTAGATTTGCCAAATTGAAAGGAACTCTCCACTACTATCTCTTCAATTACAGATTGCCAAACATCAATCCTGAAGACATTGGAGTTTCTTTTGTATAATTTCAAGAATTATCTACAACTAGTTCTCTGAATTTGAAAGGAAATGGTCGATTATTCAATTGATGCTACCAAATATGGGGTTTTGGGGTTTTGGGGTTTTGGGGTTTTGGGGTTTTGGGGTTTTGGGG